CTACTTTTAGAATTTTGCAGGCATATGTTTTCAAATTGTTTAAAAGGCATATTTTGATTACCTTCAGACCTAAAATCATCAAACTTGGTCAGGAGATGCATCTTGGGACTCTGAAAAATGTCGACCAAAAAGTAGGTCACGGTGACTTACTTTCGACATTTTATGGCTATATTTATGTATCTTAGGTATTTATTGGCTTAGAATCATCAAACTTTGTGAGTTGATGCATCTTGGGTTTTCGGTGAGTTGATGCATCTTGGGTTTTCGGAGAGTGACGACCAAAAATAAGGTCACGGTGACCTACTTTCGACATTTTATGGCTATATTTAAGTATCTCCCGTACTTATTGGCTTAGAATCATCAAACTTTGTGAGTTGATGCATCTTGGGTTTTTGGAGAATGTCAACCAAAAAGTAGGTCATGGTGACCTACTTTTAACATTTTATGGCTATATTTATGTATCTTAGGTATTTATTGGCTTAGAATCATCAAACTTTGTGAGTTGATGCATCTTGGGTTTTCGGAGAGTGACGACCAAAAATTAGGTCACTGTGACCTACTTTCGACATTTTATGGCTATATTTAAGTATCTCCAGTACTTATCGGTTTAGAATCATCATACTTTGTCAGTTGATGCATCTTGGGTTTTCAGAGAATGTTGACCAAAAAGTAGGTCACGATGACCTACTTTTGAATATCTCAGGTATTTATTGGCTTAGAATTATCAAAGTTAGTCAGCAGATGCATCTTGGGACTCTGAAAAATGTTGACTAAAATGTATGTCAGGGTGACCTACTTTCGACATTTTATGGCTATATTTAAGTATCTCCGGTACTTATTGGCTTAGAATCATCAAACTTTGTCAGTTGATGCATCTTGGGTTTTCGGAGAATGTCGACCAAAAAGTAGGTCACGGTGACTTACTTTCGACATTTTATGGCTATATTTAAGTATCTTAGGTATTTATTGGCTTAGAATAATCAAACTTTGTCAGTTGATGCATTTTGGGTTTTCCAAGAATGTAGACCAAGAAGTAGTCCTAATTGGCTAAGAATCATCAAACTTTGTCAGGTGATGCAACTTTGGTCTTAGGATACTTAGGGTTAGAGGCTTCAAATACAAGTGATAGGTTGTAAAATTTATCAGAAGAGCGATTCAAGGCCCTTGGGCCTCTTGTCTGATCACATTTTGTCCGTCGTCCATCTGTCCGTCTGTCTGTCCGTCTGTAAACTTTTCACATTTTCGACTTCTTTTCAAGAACCACTGGGCCAATTATGACCAAACTTGGTACAAAGCATCCTAGAGTGAAGGGGAATTTAAATTGTCAAAATAAAGGGCCTAATCCCTTCACAAGGGGAGATAATCAAGAAAAGACAAAAATAGGGTGGGGTCATTAAAAAATCTTCTTCTCAAGAACCACTGGGCCAGAAAAGCTAAAACTTATGTGGAAGCATTCTGGGGTAGTGTAGATTCTAAATTGTTCAAATCATGACCCCCGGGGAAAGGGCGGGGCCACAATGGGGAATCAGAGTTTTACATAGAAATATATAGGAAAAATCTTTGAAAATCTCCTTCTCAAGAACCACTTGGCCAGAGAAGCTGAAACTTATGTGGAAGCGTTCTGGGGTAGTGTAGATTCTAAATTGTTCAAATCATGACCCCCGGGGGAAGGGCGGGGCCACAATGGGGAATCAGAGTTTTACATAGAAATATATAGGAAAACTCTGAGAAAATCTTCTTCTCAAGAATCACTGGGCCAGAAAAGCTGAAACTTATGTGCACATGGAAGGATCATGGGGTAGTGTAGATTTCAAAATGTCTAAATTATGATCAGTGGGGTAGGGTGGGGATGCATTATGTATTACAAGGGGGAAATCTGGTAAAGAACAGAATGGTCAAAGCTTCTCAGATGAGCGATGTGGCCCATGGGCCTCTTGTTTCAAATTGCGTTACTTGATCCCAAATTTAAGACACTTTGAAAAATGTTTTTCAACGTAATTTATCAAAGTGCGTTGTAATAGAGCACATTACGAACACATTATATACAAAGTTGACAACAAACCAATGCTCAACAGCAGCTTTTTATTAAACTGTTCATTTCATTTGCCAAATCAATACAGCAAAACACCAGAAAAAACGTTGAAGTTGGAATTATCGTTCAGTACCTGGTGACTTTCTCTTCCCCAGACCCAAATACGGTCACCTCGCCTCAGCCGTAAAACCAGAGTTTGAGAACTCATGGGGTACGTCCCGGAATTCGAAAATAATGTCGTCAAAACATGGTGATTCTTGACAATCTCCATGTAGGACTCGTAGCCCCTTTCGCTCATTGCTGTACATGAAATCAGATAAATACCGCTGTATCGGGCTCTGAAGTGTCCCGTCCAGGGATTGTAGGCCCGCCCTATGTTGGTCAGGACCCTGTCATACTTGACGACTTGATGGTGTCCAATGCTTCTATCGCCTGTCAGAGTTGCTGTGAAGGCTACATGGTGTTTTGCTGTAAATAAGATAATTTATCAAAGATTTGGATAAAATCAATTAAATGTATATTTGGAGCGTTTTCTCAATTAATTGCATGATTTCAAGACGCTCCATTAAAAAAAAAGTTATTAAAAGTTGTACCTATATAGAAAATTATCATTTGGAACTATTTCCAGCTTCCAAACTTTGAAACAAAAGCATGCAGGCTTTATTTGCTTCAAAATTTTATAATTGAGTTTTTACTGCACACCTAAAGCATTAACAATGAGTCAAAGATAGAGATTCATGAAGACCCATTTAGAAACTCATAATCTATCAGCCAAGAGTATATCAAAATCCTACCGATAGTGTGTGTGAATTATGTTTTAATTCAGTGAAATAAAATTAAAGAAAACAGACGAATATTAAACAGTGGATTCGGACAACAGTACAGATACAAGAGAATTATTCAACTAACGGTCATTTGCACATAAAATACCAGGTACATGTATGAATATTCAACATGAACAATATACCGAGTATATACGTAAGAACATTCAACAGAGGTCTTGAATGAACAGAAAATACAGCTGCAGTCGACTGTAGTCAACTTTATACGAACAAATAAAAACGCTTCATTTCCCCGACAAAAAATAATTTATAACGAGGTTCGCTCCTCAGCTTTTCAGCAGATTTTTATTTTGACCTCTGTTTAAAAAAATGCTACATAATTTTTTAGTTCTTACAATAAATCTGGATTCTATAATGCTAATTAGACTATATTCAATCAAAACCCCATGATTAAGTTCCATACCGAAAGCATTTTTAAAGTGAGGAACTATACATATTTTTGTGGCGGAAGGTTTTTTACAGATACATGTATCATGCGCCTCGGTTGACAATGGTTTTCTTGGGGTGAAAATTTTCAATGTTACACTCAACTACATGCAATATTTATATAATGTTATCCAGCATAAGATACAACTTCAAGCGTTTCTAAATACATGTAATTCTAATTAATCACTTGGAACAATATTATACTGTTTTTACGGGTATTAAATGCATGGATATTTCAAATATTCTGATACACTTCTTGTGTGATTTTGCACATTGTGGTCATTTTTGCAATGCAAATGCAATTTAGAGAAGCTATATAACGTGTGAGTACCCATTATATGGAGAAATTCAGACATTGAAGAAATGGTTTTATAAGGGGTTTTCACTAAGAAGGTAGTTTTCTTGCATTTCAACTTTACAAGCTGATGTTTTCACTCAAAAATTGTGTTTTAAGGTATACCTTTACTCAGAAGACTAAAACTTCCACTGATAAGAACGAAAAACCACCTACTGCACATTATACACCTATGATTCTTGTGTTAATTTTCAATTTCAAATAACTAGGTCAATGACCTACTTTTCATGCTAGTGGCCCCTGAGTATTTCTCGGAAAATACCCCAATTTTTCCACATTATGACCAATTTTTTCTTTACTCACAAATAATTACAAGCAACAAAACTCTTTAAATAATGAAATAGTATAGCAATGGAACAGGGTTGCTTCATAAAAAGAAACGATTAGAATTTGGTCCATAAACTTGATAATTATTACAGTCCAATTTAACTTTCCTCTGTCATATTTATATTTCTTTACCATTTTTAATGGAATATTACAAAAATCTGAATGATAAGAACTCCAAATTATTTATAGAATCAAATTACTTTTGTTGCCTTAATTCTCATGGTATTAATATTATATGGGGTCAATGATCAAATTATTGAGATATGTTGTCTTCATGGAATAGTTTTTGTTCATATTTTTGAGTTTCTTTATTTCAAAGCATTTAATTATTTGAAATAATTTATAAGTTTTAACACATATAAAATTTGCAAAATGATGTCTAGAAATACATGTCACCTCCACACTGTTATTAATATTGCAAAAAAATTTAAAATTTTGACAAAAATAAAAAAATTAGAAATTTAGTCCGAATTTCCTCTGCATTACCATATATTGACTTTTGTTCCTGTATAATTCCTTTAAAAAATAAATTATAAAAATTTTAAATTGATATTGAGTTAAAACTTGGTTATTTCATCCATTTAGAATAATTTTTGATTTAACATATACTTTATAAAATTCACTGTCTGACTTCTGAGACCTGAGTAAACGCCATCCTTAAAAGAATTTGCAGGATGGCATGTGCTGTCGCATGTGTCGTAATGGCTGTGTATTGCAAGACTTGTCTTTTATAATGCTCAAATCTTTGACTTTGATGAGGAAATTTCTTCTCTGGCAGTTTGCAGTGTTTACATACTAGTAAATGACGGACGTTTTTATTGTTTTTATTGAAAACGGCAATAATGGGTACTCGACAATAATGAGTACTCGCACGTTATATATAGGTCCAAACTTTTCCCTTGCTCTTTCAGTTTATTAATTGCAATTTATGAATATATATGATAGATGACATGGTCGTACGTACATGTATGTCTGATCGACGCAGTGGTTATAGAGCGTCTGCTATAGAGTGGCGAAGTAAAGAGTCAATCCTTTCGTAGCGGGTTCGAATCCCAATGTGGGACGTGCAGACCAGTCTTTCGGATGAGACCGTGTCGCAAAAGATGATGAAACAAAAAAAAAGATCCCTTACTTCTCAATGGCCCCGAGTTCCGAAATTGAATATAGGCTAAAATTTGTAGCTCTCCACCGTCCGGTGTAAAGACGAATAATGACCCCCATCGAATAATGACCGGGGGTCATTTTTCAACGACAAAAAATGACCCCCCACCCGTAGAAAAAATCATTTTTTGTAGAAAAAGGGTCCTAGGGGTCATTATTTTATCTGTTTGTCCTATAAAAAGTTGACCCCCATTGAAAAATGACCCCCTTTAAAGTGATACAAAATTTATAACAGGTGAGAGGGAAAAATATGCTGTTTTAATATAATAATTGTTCTTCCTTCGAGTAATTCATGCATTTGTTCGAATAAATTTGATCTTTGTTCTTCTTAGCACGTAGGGGTAAGTTCATTTCTCTCTGCCGAAATATTGACAAATCAGTTTTAAGCAATTAACAATCAATCAATCAATCTTCATTTCACTGATAAAGGACAACCCAAATCAAAAATGGTACATGTAAATGGATCAAACGCACCCTGGAGATGAAATTTATGAATATATTTTTTTTTATTATACTGACTCCATTGATACGTTGTTTCTAAAAAAAAACATTTGTTGGGGAAAAGTAGAAATTTGTGCGTACAAATAAATAATTTGTTCGAATTAATAAGGTTTCATTGGACGAGTGAGTAAAAATACAAGGACGCCTCTATGCTGTATATTTTTTATATGTTCCATCCAATACATGCAGCGTATCACTATATAATTACAGATATTTTAAATCTTTGCAAATACATATTCTTTTTATACCCCCCTCCCCTCGGTAGAACAACCAGACTTGAAATGAACAGTTTCAAGTGAGAAATTAAAAATTTACATTCATGAATTTGGAAAGGGGATAACACCCCTCCCCATCTCTGATTCTATGCTCCTGAATGTTATGTGCATCTTATCCACTCAAGTAGGAGAGACGTTTTTACTTTACTGTTTTGAAAAAAAGATTGCTTGATTAAATGAGTTTCATTTTCAAACTAGAAATTGTTAAAAAATACATTCTGAAAAAATGGATAGGGGGTAATCCCTCCTCCTTCTCCTATTCTTTTTGCATGGATAATATGATCACTTGAGTGGATTTCGGATGCAGGTGAAATAACTTTTCAGAATTGTTTTCAATCTATAAAATCTGCATTTCATTCATATAGTGTGATCCACGCTAATGCCATTTATACATCCATGCTATTGATTGATGATTCTACCCATTAAAAATGTAGGTAAAAGATTTCTTTTGCAATTCATAAAGACAAATTTAATCAACAGAATGCCTGTTTAGAAAGCTTAATTCAGTGCTTCGAGCTTTGTATTTGTTGTCATGAGCAAATAACTAAAGCTACAAACAACTACATAAAATGATATTACATGTATTAGCTTTATGTATATATATTTATATATAATAAAAAAAAATCACAACACCGAAATAAACTCAACCGGTTTCATTTCCAATCTTCAGGAGTTTATATATATATAAATATTGAATTGGTTATATTGATAAACTTAATTATAAATTGTTTGTTGAGAAAGCACGACCTTTTGACCTTGACCTTGGAGATTTCCGTACTTATGAAAAAAAAACTTTAACCTTGGCCATATCTTTTGAACGGTAAGGACTAGGGTTTTCATACTTCACATATATATATTTACATTTCCAATGTCTTTGTCCGAGATAAAATTACCAATTGTAAATGTAATTGATTTCCTCATGAATGTTTTGGCGCGGTTCCAAAAAAAAACCACGTGTAGGGCGGGACAACACCTAGAGAGAAGCAGGCTTAAGGCCCGGGGATTGGCGGAATCAAAGCATGTAAATATAAGGAATAACTGTCAGATTTTTCAAATTCATGAAGATGATCAATGGATTGGCTTGTGTGATAATTTTATGCATAAACGCCTTCGGCGTTTATGCAAATTATCACACAAGCCAATCCATTGATCACTTCATGAATTCGAAAAATAAGACAGTTATTCCTTAAGTAATCCTTGTTACAGTAAACCTTTCCTAACAAACCATCAACTTTGACCCTTTGACGTTTGAGTTTGACCTACCTTTCAAAAACTTATCCTTAGCCATTACTTTTGAACAAGTGGTGCCAGGGCTTTCCTATTTTGCAATTGTATTTCTTGTGCGAAGACCCTCCTTTGGGTACCAATATATTTAAATTGCATTTAAGAAAAGTTTAATCTTTGCTATGTTGCCATACAGGGGCATAGCTGTTTCACAAACACATCTTTTTATTTATAAGAGGAGTTGCGGATATGAGATGGATACACCAAAGCGTAAAAGACGAACGGACGGACATCCCGATCACTATATACCCTCCCGCTTTTCAAGCGGAGGATATAAAATATAATACTGCTGATTTT